AATGCCGCTGTTTCTTTTAAATAAGATTTATAATTTCTTCCCGTAAGGGTTTAAGTAGTAACGGACGACTATGCGACGACGCGTGTAAGTAGGGAATTTGCCGTATAAAGAAATCAATTTTTCCTCGCATTAGGAATCCGGCACATCGTTAAGAGAGTTTCCAACCATTTATAATGTAGGCAAGTGCACCAAGAGAGAAAAAGAGGAGAGACGAGAGAGAGAGAGAGAGAGAGAGAGAGAGAGGATGAGAGTACTGATGGAAAAAGCGTTGCGTATTAAATTGGAGGCGGAAAGTGTGCGTAGAGCGCGGCATTAATATACCATGCATACGCCATTACAACATTCCCCGATGTCCGCGCGTTACAACACGTTACTACTATTACTACCACTGCTATATTGTCATCACCGTCCATTACGCTCAGCGCCGTACTCCTCGCGCGTTTGATGGGGAAGAATCCGGTCGACCGTTCGTTCCTCTACCTCGTAAATCATCGCGATGGGCATCCACGTAGGTCACTGGATACGTCGGTGAAATAGCGACGGGCGAGGGTGGCTGGACAAGGATAGTGGAACAGGAGGAGAAGAAGAGCAACCGTTCCGACGAGAGATCGTGATTTTCGAAGCGGATGTTCGAAGATCGCCGCAACCCAGATTATAGTAATGACCACTAATACATCCTCCGGAAATTGACGAATTATATTGGCGAGATTAGTTTTATTTCATAGGAGATCTTTATACCTTTCGGAATGGTTTCTCGTTTGCGGATTTTATCACTGACTATTGTCCACGAAGTTTCAACGAGATCAATTTTCAGTTTATAACCTTTGATGTTTCCGACATGGAATTATTTTACTAAAAGTGACATCGTTATTACATTGGTTTTTCATTCTTTCAAAAGATGAGGTAACATAAAGCAATTAATATCAAAGAAAGTTTCACATAAAAAATTTTTTTGTCGGCTATTTCTCGTATTTATTGCTTTTCTATGTTTTGAATTGCTTCCTATATTCATTTTTCATACTTTTTCGCGAAAAAAGAAATAGTATTTATAAGCATTGCTGTTGAATGAAAATAGTATTGTATATTGAATACCAGCGATTTCTTCTCGTTCAATGTCGCTTCACATTCTACGAAGAGATGCCCCTCCGGCTTGGAGGAAGGCTCGCATTATGTCAACGGGAGGATGATGATATAGACTACTTCGAAAAGTGCATTACCGGCATTTCTCGCGTTTGTTCCCTTCCCCGGGCTTATTTATCGCTCCGGGGGCCAAGTCTCGCTGGCTTCAAGTCGCAGCTGCTGTCTGTAATGGAGTTGCGTACCGCCGTCATATGTGGAGCAAGAAGTTGGGCGCGATGGGGAAGTAGTAGCCGACTCGAGAACAGACGTGATGGAGGGGTGAAGAACCTCGAGAAAAAGTAAATACTCTGTATATCGAGCGTATAGAAGATGCACGGGGTGAAACGCAAAAAGGGCGAAAGCATGTTTAAAGGAGAGGAAGGAGGGAAAGAGATTACTCGGGAAACGCACGGGATGACACGTGAAATGATACGAGAATATGTGATGTGCCAACTGATATCGTGTGGAAATACAAGTAAGGAACGACGATAAAACTAGGAGAAAAGAGGGTAGAGAGATACAAGCGGAAATAACTCGGGACATTATCGTAGAAGAAATCGAACGACCGAGACGACACTTTGATGCATGGAAGGTGAACGCGAATGCGAGTACGGATCAGAAAGAAATCCATTCTCACGGATCGCAAAAATCCGTCGTTCGAAAAAAAAGTGCGAACGCAAGGTTGCCGCTGTCGTGTGAGGTGAAAGGTCGAAGGAGAGAATTCGCGCGACCGCTGACACCCGTAAGTGGAGTGGCAGCGAATGTAATAAGAAGTAAACGAAATGGGGAAAATCCAATTGAGGGGAGCCGCGATCGCGCGGGCGAGAAAAGAAAAGTTCCTGGGGAAAGGGAAGAGCGAGCGAAGGAGAGGGTACGAGAGCACATCGCGAAGAAAAAAATAGAAAAGAATAGGAAGACATGCGCGAGGCGAGAGAAGCATGAAAAGCGCCGCTTAAGGCTTAAGAGACACAAAGACATTTTGCGACGATTTGCGCGTACAGTTAAGAAAAATGCGAGAAGAAAAACGCGAAAATAAATAACATGAATGGAAATAACATGGATGGAGAGGAGGAGAGAGAAAAGAGGCTTAAACGCAGTAGAACTACACGAACGGTTGACGATTCTGATCGCTCCAAAGAGTATTCTAAGAGGAAAAACGGGACGAGATAAGTTGGTAAGGGATGATCGCGCGTAATTCAGTCTGAGCAAAAAGGTGTGAACGAGATTGCCAAAATACTACGGAAATATTATAGGAAAGGGGGATGGGAGAAACCGCGAATAACGAAGAGTCAGGAAGTGCCGTTCTCGGAGGTAGGACGATGAGAGGAAAGAGGTGAAGATAGAGGTCCAGAAGGACAAGGTAGACAGGAAGGTTCAGGATAATGAGAGAAGAGGATGACGTGGAAAGAAGCGGCGAGTGCGACAGAGAGAAATCGAGTGGGCACGCAGGAAGAGTGGGAGGGCGAAGGGGTTGAGGACAGTGGAGGAGCGCCACGTTGGAGTTGGAGGTACGTTGCGAGGTAGTAGGAGTGCTCGAGCGCGTAGGAAGGAGGCAAAAAAGGGTAAAGAAAGAGGGACAGACGAGTGAGGAGTGCGGAGATAGAGTATGAGTTGAAGAGGAAAGAGAGCGGAGGGGACAGGGGAAAGGCACGTAGAGGGAGGGGGTGGGGTGACGTCACGCCCGATCGATACTCACTCATACTACTCCTCCGCGTACGGCGACACGGTAACCCTCCGGCGATGGCGCACGCGCGCCTTTTACCCCTTACTTGTACCGCCGACACTCGTACTCGCTCCTGAGCGCCGCTTCCCGCCATATTAGCCGCCATGGGGTAGGCGAGGATGTGCGACAGGGGTAACACGGGGTGCTTCTTCTTCCGCAAGGTAATCCATGCGTTTTCTCTCTCTCTTTCTCTCTCTCTCATTCATTCTCGTTTCCTCATTCTCCGTTTGTCTATTTATCATTCTCTCACTCTGTCGCACTCATTCCCTCATCGGACACCTACCTAACCGTCCTACGCGCGCCCTTTCGCACCATTCACCGGTCACGTGAAACCGAGAAGGAACTGGCGATCTGCACTCGAGAGAGAGACAGGTCATAAGAGAGGAAGACTGGCCGGCGTTCTTGTTGAACGGTGCTCTGGTCGAGGACAACTCGGGGCACGTATGGGACCGCCGCGAAGGGGTAGCGCGACACGCGCGGCGGCGTTCACCCGGCAGACGGGTGAGACCGAGAGACGTAAAGAGAAGACGGACGGAGCACGGGGGTGGTGGGCTACCGGCAGGAAGGGTGGCAAGGAGCTCCAAGAGCCGCCACCGCCGTCGGCGAGCGAAAGAGGCTGCAAATCGGCTGCGGCAGCGTGGATGTCCCTGCTGTCGCTCTGCGACCGGATGTGCGGCACCGCCGCGTGGCTCGTTCCGGTCACATGCCTCCGCGGGGTGCGTTTTTCCCACGGTTCACCTTTTGTGCTACTTCTTTTCATCGACGTTGCAAATGATTATTAAGCTGGCAGGTGGAATAAGCTCGCGATCTATTTTACAGCAAAAATCTTATTGTTAGTTCTTATACGAATAACCTCACCCGTATTTCCTGGCATTGCAATTAACGAGTGGACGCGAGAGGATTTACGGTGATGTTCGTGACGTTAGCGTGACAGGTGGATGAGCTCGTTCGAAACGCGTGACTCGATAAGCTCGTGCGTTTTTCTCGATAGTCTCAGTGAGATACGAATCCGACTGAAATCACGGTCAACGAGCTCGGGGATTTATGGTTGGTGCTTGTGCGTTGTCGAAGTGACAGATTGATGAGTTTCCGCGAGACGCCGCGTGCTTCGTTAGGAACCCCCTCTTACTCTTAAAAGGATCATGATGGAGCTTTACATTTACATCGCATTTGTCTCGAATGAAAAAGTGTTATTCTAGATTCTAGTTCACCTTCCCGGATATTCGGTCCTCATATTTGGTCACTTTATTACGGCCCTCATAATTGAGTTAATTGAGATCATGAGATATTCCAGTAAAAGCAGAAGTTTAAATGTGTACGATTTTTGTCACTTGCTTTTATTAGATGCATATAATGGAAATCTTATCGATCTTATCGATATTAATAATTAATGATTAACTTGAATTTTTTGTTCCTGAAAATAATTTCTTCTTAATACAGTGGATAGAAATTATTACAAAATTCGCTAACAGAATTTGTTGAAAATATTTATGAAAAATATCCATTATCTGCATTTTGATTATATTCAGCGATTGCAAAAATATTTACTTTAGGACACTATACTACTCATGCTCGCAATATTTCTACGTCTTTGAGAGAAATTAGAAGCTTTACTTTCTTTTATAAGCTTGTGAATTCGCTTGCATAAAATATCTTCAATTTAAGTAATATTAATAAGATAAAATTAATAAGATAAAATTTTTTTAATTACTTAAATAATCCTTTAATTAAAAGTATTCAATTTGCAAAACAAGATACTTAAATAATTGATATCCCTACTTAACATAAATCTATTATCGGTTTTAACTATCATCATAATCACTCAATCTTCTAAATCATTGTGTCCTATATGATGTAAAATGTGAGATAGCCAAGTTATGTAATTGCCAATAGAGTATGTGACATGTGTAGCTGACCTGTGACGTATGTAGTTTGGTTGCTGTGGTTATCATTGATCTAGACTCTGACTAATCCTCTTTGAAGGGATACCACTTGGACATTCAAATTTTCTCGATATTGCATATCGCGTTATATTTCGACAATGCGGAAGGTATATGTCATTTTTTTATTTGTCGTCTCATTTCGTAATAATCAATTATATAACTTTAACACTTTAGAGTCAGCTGAACAGCGAAAATAATCAGTTATTGTTTTGTAGGAGGGCCGGGGGGAAGTGACAGACATAAGCGCAAGTCCTGGGAGGCAGGCACCTGCCAACCAGTTGCGCCCCAAGGAACCACCCCCCATGGTCATTCAAGGAGACTTCAGGAAGGTAGTGACGACACTTCATTAACTCGTTGCCGACACAATGGACGAATTTAGAGCTCGTTGTGTCGACAAACTTCAATTGCCGGACAGCATGACGATGGATTCCGACACCCGGGACCCTATTGTGTTGCTCGTGAAGCTGTCTCGACGACTGGCAGAAACGTATTGGCGTGTGCTTTAGTCGCCACGTATTGTTCATGTAATCTGATCGCTATTATATTAAACATGCCAAATTTAAATCATTCCATTCTCAATCTTTGCAACATCTTTAAAACAAGCAAAATGAGGATAAAATATAATAGCGATGTCTTGTCAGAATAATATTAATAAGGAAGGACTATTAGTAAGGAAAAAGGTAGCCAAAGATTTATTTTTAGGTGTACATAAACTCGTTTTTAGGAAATAAAAAGATCTCATTATATTAAAATTTTACATTAATGAAATTAGGATTGCATTCCGTAATTTATTGTGAGTATTGAAATTCTATAGTTCACGTTATGTATACGTATAGATTTTTAGTACTCACAGTGTGAATAACGTAGCTTATATTTTAGTTTTTACATTTCTCTACACTGAAAAAATGATATTATATCAACGGCATTATTTTAATTGAAAATAATCTTGTTGATTCACAATAACAGTATTAATGAAATAAATAAAATTTTATTAAAACAACAACATAACATATTTGTTTCATTAATATTGTTATTGTATTAACAAAATCATTTTCAATTGAAATAATGTTGTTGATATAACATCGTTTTTTTCTGTGTATTTATTATTTATATGAGAGATCAATGTATTATATATTTATATATTGTTTAAATATTTGCACGATAGAAATAATTTAATAAATAATAACATTGTTTTGCGTCGAGACAAATTCATCGGTCCACACAAAAATGACGATAAAACATCGCTACGCTTCTTTGAAACGGAAGAATCTACCGTTGCAGGTGAGCGGGATCAGTACAGAGATCTTCAAGCAGATCGAGACTGTCGAAAACGATCATGACGCATCGACAGCGGCGGCCCTCGAAGCTGTTGAGCGGAGAGGCGAGATGGTCGTGCGTGTCATTGAGCCTCGGCAAATGGGTAGACAGGCTTCCGAGGCGGCGAAAAAATTTATTGCTATGCAGGTACGTTATCGATGAGTCTGTCTGTTTCTGACAGATTGTGATTCATTTGCATTTGAACGTAATATCTTATCATAAATTAGTACTACGCGCAATTCTTTCATTACAATCAGCAATATATTAATTCCCTGTTTATCGTATACTATCTATTCATCTCTCTCCTCTTTCTAATATATGATTACAATTCAATTATAAAATAGTTTTGGAAGACTTGAGATATTTTATCGTTTCTCGCTCTATCACTAGTCGGAATATATGAAAATGCACGAATATTTATTATATGAATATATACATAGTTTTAGAAATTTGTTTAAAAAAATATAAGATATAAAATAAGACGCATAATAAACTCGAAATTTAAATTAAATTTACACAGACTGTTCAAGTTTTTTTACTTAAATATAAAAATTCACGCAATCTTTCACTTTATTGTAAAAATTCGTATAAAACTATTGTTAGGCATTGACTAAATATGGTAATACTTCTTCACTCATCTGTCTTTTAATTTAATAAATAAAAAATAATTCTTTATTACGTTTATCAATGATTATATAGAAGTTGATAATGTATTTATGTTATTGTCAAATTATCGAGCAAATATTTAGAGATAATATTCACTATAATTTAACTCGCCTTGGCCTCCTCATGGAATTAGGCGAACAAAATGTAACAGTTTGCTTGCATGGCGGTCGTATTTATACCACTCGGGCCAGGGAGAAAATTATTTTCACGACAACGAAGTAATTTTGCGCAGCGTAATTTCACCCGAGGCGCGCGCGTGAACGCTGTGAAATATTTCGACGGCACGAATTAAGAAAGTTCACCGGCGATCTTCGTTTCAGGATCCTAAGCACCCCATCCACTTCGTCGAGATAATCAAACGACCGGGACAGACCCTCGGCCTCTACATACGCGAGGGCAACGGCGTCGACAGAAACGACGGGGTCTTTATCTCTAGGATAGCTCTGGAGACCGCCGTGTACAACAGCGGCTGCTTGAAGGTGAATATCTTCGCTCTGCCCTGCGAATTCACCCGCTGTCACCGGGACGACGACAGTGAGAAACCGACGCGATGGAGAAAGCGAGGCGAGCGGTAAAATCGAGACACATCCGTGAATCGTCCCTTCGTCTTCTTTTTGCCAAGCGAGAACTTAATTGCTGCTAGTGCTCGGAACGAGCTCGGAGCCATTTAGGATGGAGAATCTATTTCGAGAAAAAGAAAGAGAGAAGGATGCGATAGCGGGGGCCGCGAGAATGCGCCGAATTAAATTTATCCTCTTACACCTTGACATTTCACGGGTCTCGGGCATCGATCAATCTTGTATATTTGGAAGGGATATTTATCCTTTCATTCTCCGCGATATCGTTGCTCGTCTTTATATCAGCTATCAGTCACTATGCATTCGCACGTGCAGGTGGGCGATGAGATCCTGGCGGTGAATCTGGTCGATGTGACGCACATGAGCCTGGACGACGTTGTGATCATCATGTCGATACCGAGGCGACTCGTCCTGGCCACAAGACACGGCCCACATCAACCTGTTTCGCACAGCCGCCAGACTGAGCACAAGGCACCGCCCGTAGTAGTCATCAAAAGGGAATTGAATGAAGATGAGAGTGACCACACGACAAGTAATCATGTCAGGTACTATCTCAAATTGATATCTATATCTATTCCTTGAATTAATAATCAAAAGACATCTCGCAAATTTATTATTTCAAGATACTTGTAGATGGCTTTACTGCTGACGTCAAATCTTTTTATCTTTCTTCCCTACAGAAGCTTGTTAAAACAATAAAGTGACTGTTAATAAAAAAGCCGATATTTTATGAAGAATAATCTTCCAATTATAGTAATACTATATTAGTACTGATATTTGATATCGATTTAAATCTTTTCTACGCGGAGAAAAATGTAATAATTAAAATTAAATTTTACGGAATAGGCAAGTCCATATAGGAACACGTGCTCACTTAAAATTTACTTAATTTTTTTGGTAAATGAGTAATCGTCATACACCACTGTAAGATATTTTTTACATTTTATAAAGTAAATTTATAAATTATGATACGTCTCAGTAGAATTTATTTTATCAATAAGTGTTTTTTACCTCAATCAATAAGTATTTTTTACCTTAGCGCTGACAAAATTTACTTTACTACGCGATAAATAATAATAAAAAAATATGAGTGTATAAAGTCTTGAGAATAGTATGATTTACTGTAAGTAAAAAATCATTTGAATGGATTAATCATAATTGCAATTTACTTTTTACCTTACATCTTCAATATTTTTATTTCCAGACAAGTAAAATTTGTCATAAGTTCGGCAAAAGTAGCCAGAATATTTTTACTAATAGTTGTAAGTTAAAAATTACTCAACGTTTTTTCTTCATGTATATCTTTTTTTTTAAATTAGTTAGGACAATAAGTTCTGCCATTAACAATTTCGAATAACACATGATGTTTCATGTGTAGGGATGGCAGTAGTCGTAGACGAGGCGACGGACGTGAAATGTTGCCGTCGCGATCAAGACTCGGTCTCACAGGTTTGGGATCGAGCCAGGATCTCGGTTCAAGCAACGGTGATCTGTACTATAATTCACGGCCAGAGGGTCACTGGTCCTATCAACCACCGCCGCCACCGGTTATCACGCACCAGCCGAAACCTTCAGCAACGCAACATTTTCAACCATACGAGCGCGGGTATCCGAAGACGTTAGAGAGCTTGGCTGAGAAAGTAAGTATCGCGTGATATTTCACGCGTCGAAATACGGAAATCCTGCGGATCGAGATCCATCAAAATGACAGAAAATATCGTTTAAAGAACAATTTTTCTAATAAAATTTTCTGTTTCAAATTAAAGAAAGGATTTTTTAATTTTAATATTTAATTGAATCAAATTGAATTAATTGATCAATAGTTTAATAAGTATAATACAATATATATAATACAATATATATAATATAATATAAATATTTGTTTACAAATATATAAAAAAACAAATAATATTCATTTTTCTTTATTCATTTCTAATTTTAATAAAATAATAATTTTCCACCAATGTATATATTTTTATTATTTATGATATTAAAACATTATTTTATTTTAATTATCACAGAATGGTGATTACATTATTCTTTACAACACTAATTTATTTCGATATTTTCGAAATAGATGTCACTTATGAATCTCGATCCGATGTAGTTCACGCATAGATGTTCTAGACGATGTGGATCGAGCACCATTTCATACCTATCTGCACCAATTCGATACTCGTTTGCCCTTCACTGTCTCCAATGAACGCTATTTTACTGAAAGAAAGTGGTGAACTCGTGGCAATGTCTCGGGACACTTGCTGTCGCGATCTCCGTGTCATTCGGATTATCGGAATTAAGAAGAACAATTCGCAAAGTAACTTCTAAAAGCAAGGAAATTTAAAAAATATCAGAATCGCATATCTCGCGACAATGAAAATGCCGTTCGTATAAAATATTGACTCTTTGTACATTCGTTCCGTGTATCGGATTTCTATCTCGAAGACAAATACGCGAGAATAAATGTCGAGAAAACTAATGTCTCGACAATTTCAACGAATGCATTTCCGAACGACGCGGAGCGTCGCCGATCGGCTCGCGTATCGATTACGTGTTTCAAATGACTAATCGGTTCTATGAATGAATGCTACATTGAAATTAACCAGGATTTTACAAAGGTAAAGATAACACAAACTCTATCTTGATATCTAGACTTGTGTATGACTGCAATTTTCTGTATAATGCCTCTAATGGACAAGTATATAAATATATTCTCCCTTCCTCTCATGTATATACTTGGCGACGAACGAATGCGCGAGTGCATCCGCCCACACAAGGCATTTTTAATTTCAATCTTTGTTAAATTCTCACTTCTTAAAAACTTTAACATAAATTCTTCCATTCTTTGCTGAAATGTACGAGTTTTGAAAAAATTGAGATCGTAAAATAGATGAAAAATGTGGATGATTAAATATACATTTTGTCAATACATAATAAAAAAAAAATAAGCAATTATATATCTCTTTTTCTTCAATAAGTAATCAAAGAAATCACGAAATAGAGAGAGAGAGAGAGAGAGAGAGAGAGAGAGAGAGAGAAATAATATATATAATAACAATTTATTAATATAATTATCAAATATATTAAATATAATTAATTAAATTGTTTCTTTTATTATTATCATAAAAATTGTTTGAGGTTGAACATTTTGATACGAGTATTAATAAAGAATTAATCAAAAAAAGTCTTGTATCTCGCGGTAGAATAAATCATTCGGTTATAAGATGTGTATTTAAGAATTAACGAAACGATTGCAGAGGGTGTTTAATGGCAAATGAGTGAAATGTTTAGCCGTATTCTCGACGGTGCACCAGTGCATTCGTTTAACGAGTTCTGCCTAGAAAAAGCGTAACACGAATTAACGGATATTTATGTGCGTTCTTAAACCGTAGAAGTCGCGTACACCTGCCGCTGTTTGCGACGTGAACCCTAACTTTATGTTCCTTGTTGCAAGCTTGCTGTCCGTTTATTCTTTCGATTGCGTTTTGTGAATTGCCTGTGTTCTGGATAACGTTAATCATTGTCGTGGCTAGCGTTATCGCGTTCGATCGATTATCGATTGCCAGCACTTTACTCAGCATTATTCTACAAAGTTGTTATAAATTTTAATAATTTATCAAAGACTGCACTTAAAAATTTTAATTAACGCTTATAATATTGTTAAAAAATTTATATCTATATGTAATACATAGATTCACATTTTTCTTATAAAATTCACATTTCTCCTAAAATGTTGAATTTTTATGTATTAATCTATTTTTTATCTATTTTTTTATCACACAAATCATATTATCAAACATACATCACTAACAAAAGGTGATCGATCGATCATAGAAGATGAGACATTATCGTTGTAATTGCCTTTGACTTTCTGAAGAATTTAAATCCCAAAAGTATATAATTTATAAAAATTTACAATTATTGACAATAAATTACAATTAAAGACAAAGAAAGAAAGGGATGTTTGCGAGAGTCACGGCGATTAGCAACTTTAAGAAAATCTATCTAAGGAACTGTCTCAGTAAACATCTATGAAGTGTACTCAAAGAGTTCGTGCGATCATGCGATTAGGTACACCCTTTCTACACGGGGCCCATGATGCCCTCAAACGGCCGACGTATGTCGAGTGGTGGAATGCAATCAGTCGGTGGCAGATTGTCGGGCCAAACCACGCAGTCGACCCATTACGGCTACGGTCAGCACACCGGAAGCGGAAGGATCATGCCGAGGAGTGGTTCCGACCAGCACCTACCCCGAGTCGATTACACGAGCATCACGACGCCGGCGCGACATACCCTTCTTAGATCTAGCTTGAAATCAGGTCCGTAATGAATTTACTTATCATCGAAGTATCCACTCTCTGCTTCTCTCTCTCTCTCTCTCTCTCTCTCTCCCTCCTATCTTCTCCCTTTCACTATCTTCCCAGATCTATGTGTACACGGAAATTTTCTTCAATAAGAATTACATCGTTCTCAAATATTCTATATAGAATACATGTTCATAATTTATTTATTTTTTTAACTTATTATTGTAATAACAATGTAATTTATAGAAAATCTAAGAAATATGAGATCATATATCGAAAGAATTGGAAAATTTATAAATCAAAATAAATTAAAACGTGAAGTTGATATTTGATAATAGATGCATTTACTATATTCTAATAATTAACAATGTGTTGTTATTAGGAACATCAGCATTGCGTTATAATCCAAGGTACGGACAGACTGATGTTACATCCGCCGCGCAGAGGCAAGGACAATTCGGCACCTTGACAAGGCGGCATCGACCATCATTAGACTATGCCTCTGACACCGAGGCTACGTGTTCCAGTTCGCCGAAATCAGCATATTACTATTATAGGCACAATATGAACAATCCATCTCAAAGCAGCGCCGTGTCACATTTAGCTACCCTATCGAGGTCACAAATCGGTCAGAGTTCCTCAGGTGGGTTGGAACAATTTATCGAGATTGAATTATATTCGCGCTTTCGAAGTTATTTAGACTTAATCGCGATAAATAACCTTTCTACGGATCAATTTTCATGAGGTCAAATAGTAAGCGTTTAGTTCTTCGACTTATAAGTCTATCGAGTTATAATTAGAATTTCTTATATAGATTTTATATAGATTTATCTTATATAGATTTTGGAAATAGAGTTTGTTAATTATAATCATTGAATTGGAACATTCAGAGAACTATATAAACTTATTAATAAACTTTGTACAAATTCACATGAATAACAGAGAATTATAACAGCTTTAAGGTATATTCGAAATCTCCAGTAGAATTCATTTCTTTTTAAGTCAGAAGATTTCTTCGTAGGTTTAAGATCAAATTCATTACCACGAAGCGGTCGAACGTTGCCCCAGCAGCCTGGTCTCAGATCGGGCCTCAGCACGGTCGCGTCGGGCCTGATCGATCAAGAAGACAGCGACGGTGCATTATCAGCTCCGGAATTACCTTCCATCAGACGTGACAGGGGTAAGCGTCAGATAATCGAAACAATAACCGGCATGCAATTGGTGAAACTGTACTTTACGCGAACTGACCATGCCGATAAACAGGCAGGATACCGTCCTCACCGAGTGTATTCACGTCGGACGAGTACCGCGCCTGGCTGAGCCGCACGCCAAGTACCAGTGCTCTGTACGAGCAGATCAGGGCGACTACAAGTAGACCACCCCGTTATACATACAGCGCCGAGAATATTCATGCAGCCGTCAATCAGGTAAATGTGAAATAAGCTAGGAACAGTAAACTCAGAGCTCTGACAATCGATCGGATTTGCTAATTTTGTTATCGCCACGAATAACTACAGAATAGATTTTGCCTTCCTCTTCCTGATAATTTATTATTACGTATATTGGTTTACTCGAATAAATTCAAAATCAACTTTTTAAGATAAAAATGAATAAAAAATAATGAGAGAGTCAGAGAGAGGGAGAGGGAGAGAGAGAAAGAGAAAGAGAGAGAGAGAGAGAGAGAGAGAGAGAGAGAGAAATGCAAAATGTATTTGCATATAAATTTTTAATTTTTTCTCAATGTCATCATTAGCTTTATTTATAATTCTTTAAATATTTGTTTAATTAAGCAGTATTGATTAAAATTCGATAAATAGTTTACAATTAGATAAAAATCAAACAAAAGGATAAAAATAAATTAATAATCTAAAAGACAATCAAAAAATAAATTTATCTACTTAATTAGCATTCAGATTTTTCGAATTTAGATGTAGGTTAATTATTACTATTTTGACAGATTCTCATTTAATTTGTAGTTCAATTTTGAATTTAATAATACTAACTAAAGCAGAAAAGCTATGAATACATGTTAATAAGTACTCTGTATTTCTCATTGGTTAATGAAGGGTGACTACGGCAGTTACGGTGCATACAGGCCGCTCTCGACTACGCTTGATCGCTTGTCGACGAGATCAGCTTCGGCTCAACAGGTCAATCTTGCGAATCTGAGAGCGTCAACGGCGATTAGCTCGACATGCCATCGCGGTACAACGAATCCGAGGCCAGCCTCGGTGGCTTCAAACGCGCGCACATCGCTGGCAGCCCAGAAAGCTTCACTAACAAGTTCCGCAAGCCAACGGGCGACATCAGTCAGAAGGATCAGGAACCTGTTGGATTTGGAGTCAACGAGGAGCATACCTACCCCAACGCCTACCAGAACTCAGGGTCAAATACTACTAGATATTAATCCTGCGGGTGATTAGACAGTCTATCGCGTATCTGTCTACCGCCTCATTTCGTAAAATTGGGAGTATTGAAAGGTCATTTCATTTCACAGAATTCCTCAAATATAAAATAGAGAAGCCACCGACTGTGGGCACTCCGAGTTCGACGAGTTCGATTTTGAGCTCGCTCGGAGAGACAACTGGCGGTGATTTGGCAAGTGGAGTCAGCGGATTGTTATCAGTTCATCTTTTAGCGGGGCGCGGTCTCCGATCGACTACGACCTCATCGGCCGCTACTACACCTTCCACTCCCTCAGGCCAGCCGAATTTAGGTGCGTTAGCTGAAAATAATCTATGTGCTTGTATGTCGTTTGAGATTAGCAAATGTCAATAAAATAATTATCATACGTTTCTACACTTGTCCCATTCTAATTTCAGTAATGTTACAATTGTCAATCTCAAATATAAAAATTTTATGTTACGCTCTATGGAATAATTTTGTTTTATAATTATATTGATTAAATATAAAACTACAGCTAGTTGCGGCTTAAGAGACTTGTACTGCGTACTGGAGTGTGACAGGGTGCATAAAGCGCGCACGGTAGTGCGAACCGGTGATTTGATGTTTGACTGGGACGAAACCTTCGAGCTGGATCTCGTAGGCAATCGACAGCTGGATCTACTCGTTTATTCTTGGGACCCACAGTACAGGCACAAACTCTGTTACAAGGGATCAGTGCATTTGGCGAGTCTACTAAAGGAATCGCCAGAACATCAGCTGGCCGTCAAGGTCGAGCCACGTGGCACGATTTATTTAAAATTGCGATACACTGACGCCCAACAAACTTTTCGTCGAAGGGGTTTGCCGGTCATATCCTTAGCTACGAGGGTAGCGCCTCTCTTTGGAGTTGATTTGGATACAGTGGTAAGTTCTCTTTCTTATGATGATTTCTTTACGATGACAAATTATATCACAAAAAAAATTAATAAACTCCTCAATATTAATAACAAAAAAATTATATAATCTTTAATTTTTAGTCAAAGTTGTGTAGATTTAATATCTTCTTATAATAATTAATTTGATAACTTATTTAAATCTTAAGATGTAATAACTATTTCTTTTGTACTAACTAAATAGGTAAGTCGAGAAACTAAGACTGGTGGAGTTCCCGGTGGAGTTTCCACAGCTTTAGCGATGGGAATCCCGAATGTTCCGATTATTGTATGGCGTTGCGTCGAAGAGGTGGAGAGAAGAGGACTTGACATTATCGGTAAATATTGAACAAATAATAATTTAGAAAATTGAATTATAGGTGTTCATGTGTATCCATGACAAAAGCTTGTTTTATTTCGTACAATAGGTTTATACAGACTATGCGGTTCGGCGACTAAGAAGAGGATACTTAGGGAAGCTTTCGAGAGGAACGCACGGTCCGTAAATTTGTCACCCGACAACGTGCCGGACATCAACGTCATTACTGGTAATATACTATAAAATAAGACATAAGAGAAAAATGCGAAGTGATCGATTGTAATCGTGATCATTTCTTTCAGGTGTACTAAAGGATTATTTACGAGAACTTCCAGAACCTCTCTTCACGAAGTGCCTCTACCAGATGATGGTCGATGCACTGGCCGTCTGTTTGCCAGACGACCCGCAGGGCAATGCTAAGCTTATGTTTAGTATACTAGATTGCTTGCCTAAGGTCAACAGGGTATGTATCTGTAAAATTTTATTTTAAATGCATATTGATTCTAATTAGAAAAAGAGAAATTAAATATAACGAGGCTTCACAATCATATCCAGATTTTAATAACGTGTGTTATTGATTGAATAGTGCACATTGATTTATTTGCTGGATCATTTGGCGATGGTAGTGTCGCAATGCAATAAAATGTCACCGGCAAGTCTCGCCGTTTGCTTCGGCCCGGTATTGATGTTACACTCGGAAGAAAACGGACCTCCACTAGATTTTCAACAACCAATCGCCGTGCTTAAGTATTTGTTGGAGATTTGGCCAGTTAAGTCAGGTAATGTACTCGTTCTTCATGAATCTACGTAAAAAACTATACTTTTTCGCAAAATTAATGATATATCGATGATATATCGATATATATATATTGATATATTTAATTTAATATTATTCTATTATATTTGGATTTAGTTACTGTTGTGCATTAAAAAAAAATATTGGCTAAGAACCGAGTAATTAGTAGCTAATTTCACAGACAGTTCGGAAGACTTCTTCAGTCGGTTCAACACTTCCTCGAGTTATGCCAGTAGTCGAGCGCAGCAGCAGTCAGCAGCATCTGCAGCAAGCGCAGCAGCAAGTGCAGCAGCAGCTGCAGCAACATGTGCAACTGCAGGGAACATTGGGACGCACAGGGCTGCCTTGGCAGCAGCCACCCTCACTTCATCATCAACCCCAAACTACGGTAGCCGTAGTCCTCGGGCCTTCCATTCGTCCTCCACCACCGGTCAAGCCTCGACAGGTAGGTCGCCAATAATTGTACGTTTCTCGCACGATTCATCGTTGTTGTTCAAGGAATGTTAACCCTAAACAGTGAATAAGCAAGCTCCGGCTTTTTTTTCGTTACGTATGCTTTTCATTGAATTACAAATATTTATAAGATCATTTATCTTAAACTGTCTATGAAAATTTAAAATACAGGAAATGTAGACTAGATCACAGTAACTTTAAGAATATATGTGACCAATAATATCTTTATTAAATGGATTAGAAAGAGTGTGTCTCCTCAATACTTTTATGTAAGTAATGCATTTTATACTGTTTAGGGTCAACTACATTGATTTTTTTGGTTCCCATGAATTTGCATACTTGCGTAAATTTGCTTGAGCAATTCAAAACTTTGGAACCAGAAGAATCGATCGAGAAGACGCTTGCCAATTTATGAATATTTTGAATGTATATACTAATTACTAACTAGGTTAGTGACTCAAGTATTCCTCTCCGATTTTGTGATGAGCTTTGAATATGTTGTTTTCTAGAAAATAAGGAGCACATTCTTTTATACATATTTAGTCTGGTAGCGCGAGTAGCTTCACATTCCGAGCGGATTCGATTCCTACATACGCGATTTTTTCCACATTTAAAAGAAATCACACATTAAAAAAACTATCTTGTGATTAAAAGCTAATCATTTGGAAGGCAATGGCAAACTATCGAGAATATCTTTGCCATGAGAACCTCTTCTGAAAAAAGGCCGTTCGGATCCGGTGTTAAAAACTGTAGGTTTCTCATAACAAAAATTGGAAAAAGATAATAGAGCTGTAGAAAAAAATTTTTTTTAATTGTTTTGTTAATTGTAATTACAAAGTACCTACTCTTGAACTACTTTTTTACACACTAACGTCATGTAGATTATTTATAAAAATATAATAGTATAAAAATATATATTGGTGTACTTATATAATATAACAATAAAAAATTTTTGTTGATTTTTTTACAACTAATTCATTAAGAAAAATATAGTGTCAGTATTATATTTTTCCTAACAAATCAGTTGTGAAAAATTTTTTTGTTGTACATTTCTAAATTTTAAACGATTTTAAACTCAGATATTATATTGCTTTTTTTATGTAGCAAAATACAGAGGAAAACTTAGATTATTGAAATTTTGTTTCTTCAACTGTTTCTTGAAAGACCAACGCAGGTTCACACGCAGGGTTAATTTCAAACATTTTTTTCTCATTCTTATTATTTCGACAATATTAGCTTCGAGAATATTGTTGAAATAATAAGAAGAGAAAAGAACTGATTTTTTTCGAAGAGGCGTTCCACCTTTTAAAAACATATTAGGGTACGTATAAAAAAATATGTCACTTATTTTTGTCTATAAAACATTCAAAGCTCATCAAAATCGAAGGAAGATACTTGGGTCCTTTGTAAGTTTTCCTCCATTTTCGCTTCTTCTCACATCCTATGCATATTGAAATGTTGTTGAACAGCATGGTAGACAAAAGTATCGATTATATTTCTTTTTTATTCGCTTCGCAGACAACCTCAATCGCGACGCGCTGCCAAATAGAATCTACGCTATTTAGTGATTATTGATTCGCCCTGCTTACATATTTTCAATCACGATGAGATTTCGATCAAAAACCTTCCATTTATCACGAACTCGCAAACGTTTCGGCATGTTTCGAGGAGTATGTAATTTATAAAATTCAATCATTTGTCAACAATTAGTCATTCTCAAAAATAATTTCAAAAATTGTAATTACATCAGAATAAAAAAAATCACATCAAAATAAAAAAAATTACAATATAAATTACTATAATGATTCATTCATCATATAATTAAGAAAACTTATTCAATTAAATAGAAATTTTTACAAAAAATATTTAGGTCCAATTCCACAACTGAGTTAACTCTTAACCGAGGTTCAACTTGTTTCTCATTTCTTTCCAATTCTAGAATTGGAAAGAAATAATGAATATTGATCTCGGTTAATTGTTAATCGTGAATTGAGAAACTGGGAGAGAAACCTTAGAGAACAAACTAATTAAAAAAGAACAATTTATTTTTGAGAAACTTTTTCTTTGTCAAGAATAACTTTTATTACTCTGAGAAATATATTTAGTCGAAATGGTTTGTGTTTATCATTTATTGTTATTGTCATTAATCATTATATTACGTGATATAAATATATATAATTTGACAGGTTTATGTACATATATTTCATATATATTTATGCGAAATGCCTTCGTGCATGTCTCAATGTCATTTCTATACCTCTCACGAGCATATATTGGGGATATGATTTCTATTTCGTGTATATAGTTTCGACGTCATTCCTATTATAATAACAATTTACGTTGTCTTCTTTATCTTTTTTCGTTTGGGCACGTATTCTTCAGAGCAAGCGCAAATTGCCGGCTCTACCAAACCGCTGACAGCACAGAGACGCCGCTTCTTGCACAGGTATCATCGTTATTATCGTTTTCATTATCCGCCTTTAGTTCGTTGTCACATGCATGGCCCGATTCAGATATCAGAGAAACATTCATCATTCATGTAACTCTCTCATTCTACCTTCATGCCATCACGTTTTATACGATCTAAATGTCGCCAACATGTCGAGTATTTGTAAATACTTTTCTACGTTGATACAGCACATATTTTTGCGTATGCTCACAATTGCATTCTACTTCTACGACTGTCTGGTATTCGCGAAATTACGCAAAGCTGACTTGAAAACGATTTCGCAGAACTATGTATTAAAAATTTTCTTCGAAGAAAACATATTAGATTTTATTCGCAATATGATTCAAGCAATTTTTTTTTAAAGGTATAAGAAATGAAATGTAAATTGCAGTTTATAAGAATTTTTGATGGTGTAGATCCCTATATACAAGTTTTATATTATTTATGGTTGGAAACTGTCCTTCCGTAATAACGTACCAGAGAATATATATACAATGTCCATGAAGTTGTGATCGAATGTTTCGAACATTTCAAGAAATTGTTTAAAAATATATTATTTTTAGTAGATGAAAAAATTATATTAATTATTTAACTTTTGATAGTAAACAGACTGTAAACATTTATTTGTATACATATAAATTTTATGCTCTCTCTCCTTTCTCTTAATTTCTTTTTTTACATCATAAAGTTCGAAACGTCTGATCAATCTTTATGAATTCCAACCATATCCAGCGTCGAGCACGACTAACCGACACACCTTGACGGTGGGTACATTTTGTTCGCGCAGGTGATAGTCTCGTCTCCCGGTTCACCTAGCAGCGAGGAGTCAGAGGCCTCGCCAGAGCCGATTAACAAGAGCCTCCTGGGCAGTTTGGGATATGAAAAGAGCGACGAGACGACGACGACGACGACGACGACATCGAGTACGTCGGGCGGCGTCGGCGCCGGTACGGGCGTTGGCGTCGAGCAGGTGACACCTACAAGCAGCGTTGACACCGAGGAGGGTAATCCCCAGCATCCTGAGGAAGGCGAGAAAGGCGTCGAGGGTGATGTCGAAGCTAGCGATGACGATCGACATCAGCATATACCCAAGACGCACTAATTGTGACCCACGTCGTCGCGCGAGTGTGCGTAGCGAGTAACGGAGAGGCGCGGAGATGACAATTCCTCAAGAATGCAGACAAATTTGAGAGTTGCTTCATCAATTCGTACGTGTAGTATTGACAGAAGAATAAGCCGAAAGTTGAACCGGCTCAGAAAATAAACCGAATTTGCAGAAAGCGACTTAGTTAATTTCATTAAAATTGTTAATTTTGTAGGGTCATTTCATAAATATTCTCGAGTTTTCAGGACTGAGATCAGCTCTACTTTAGCTCTAAATACGAGATAGGATGAGCATGTTAAAGTGATCTGGACGAAAGTCTCGCACGGTGCTATTCGAATCATAAGGATCTTCGTTACGCACCCCAAAGAGTTACGGTAGTCGATTGATTCCAGTTTATTATGTTGGGTATGCTTGCTCGCGAGGAAAAGTTGTTAAAGTTAAATGAAAAAAGAGCAAAAAAAAAAAGAGAAAAAGGCGGATAGAGAAATATAATCTAGCTCGGTCAGAGAAAGAGTGTTATTACACTATGATGGAGCTCTGCTACGTATAAGTGAAATAACTATAGTGATAGTAATTTCTCCCTCGAATGTTACGTCTGGATTTATCGCCTCTTCTAATCGAAATTAAATTTCGTAAGAAATAAAATGCGATACGTAAGTACTATTACTGTATGTAATTAAATATAGCCGTAAAATGAAAGCGCTACGAAGATGATCGAGCAACCAAACGAAGAGGCGTGGATACTATGATCGTTACTCGTCGTAGGAAGATGAATCAGGAACCGATACCGTTCTGCCAGAAAGGACTTGGACCGAAGACAAGTACTATAAGGAATTAAAGACAATTTATGTTACATCATTGCTGGGAAAGCGACTCAAATAATTCAAACACTGCACATTCAATTCTCCATCACAGGAATTTCTCCGAGAACACGTAATGGCCTTTCAAGTAATGGTCTCTCGAAGCAGATATTAGATCGCAGATGGATTCATCACGCATACCTTGCCTTCGATGCCCTTTTCCGCGCCACTAAGGGGGAAGAAAAAGACGAAAAGAAGAAAAGAATGTTGTCCCTCCGCGTCGTCATCGTCGACATTACTAACTCAACACGATCCACATGAAACACACAACACACAGAACTTAAGCAAGCCGATCAACAAAGAGAGCGCACGTGACATACATAATAATCAGTTTATATGCGATATACTATATACATATTATATATACATACGTAGACTAGTCACGATATTACGTGTGTGCTTTTGATAAAAAACTATTACTTGTAGCATTAGCTAGCTCTCGTATACAGAAACAAAAAAGATACATGAACAAACAAACTGATAAACAAACAAACAGCTAAACTAGATATACATAATATACATAAAAATGTTATACATACGTTGGAGAAGAGGGGAGGGCGAGAACATGGCGGCGTTTCTATGTCGACAATAGGCGGATTCGTTTGGACATGTTGCGTATAGCTATAGTATCGGGCAATCAATTGGCTATTGTATCAATACCGGGCGATCAATTGTCCGAGATTGGGTCACGGATGGTTAGAGGAAGTGATGCAGGGAAGAAGCCGCGGAAAGAACTGACCGAAAATGATAATAATTACGAGTAAACAGAGAGAAAATGCTACGAATAATTACCTATACTTTTAAAAAGGGAACGTAAAAATGAGTAAAAAATAGCCAGTATTATTATACGTTTAAAGCTGTAAAACGACGATCGAACGAGAGAAAGTGTGCGAGAGTGAGCAAATGAGAGCGCAAGAGAAGGGAGAAACGCGCGAATGGATAATATTAAGATTAGGTGAAAAAAGAAGAATTAAATGTAGACGCAGCTGTCGTCGCTGTGATTGTTGGGAACGATCGAGCAACGATGAAATCACGCACTACAATCCGAAGCGAAGCCACGAGCGCCGATCGTAACTAATTCTCATACTTATCGCTGTAATACATCGTTATCGCATGATCTCGCTCGTGGCTTGGTTCATGGTGAAGAAAAAGAAGCATTGTAATCAGTATAAACACGCACGTATAAATAGATATTATACACATCCGCGTAATCACATCTTTCCGCACAGTTAGCGTTATCGCGCGAGAATATTTAAGGATTTAGGGCGAAGGGCAAGTCGACGGGGCGAAAGAAGACGGAGAGAGGGGTAAAGTTTTAATTGAAGTAGCCGCGAAACCGAGATTAATTGTATAGCTAAATGTAACGTGTATATATACATATATATATATATATATATATA